TTTATTTAGATGGGGCAATATAGGAAGGCAGCACAGTATAGACTGAGAGCATGGGTGCTGGTGCCTGATCATCTGGGTTCAAATCCCACTAGAAGCTGCATGAACCTAGGAAGATTATGTACCCTTCTGTGTCTGAGTTCTCTGCACTGTCCTTAAATAGAACCTATAGCATCATAGTATGAGGCGTGAAATGATTAAATACAAGGAAAGATTAAGAAAGAGTACTTCAGAAATCCTCTTTAAGTGTTTGATCATTAAATGTCTGGAAGAATAAGTTAGAATCTAGGTAGGGTTGCCTCCAGAGAGAGGACTTGGATGGCTATAGGACAGGGAAGGGTGGATGTTTACTTTTTATCCTTTACGTGGGAAGGGCACTTTACAGCTCACGGAGAATATCTGTTATCATCTCCTGTGATCCCCAGGTCAGCCCTGTGGAATGGGCAGTGCAGGAGCTATAAAACCCACATTCTGTAGTTCACAGCACTGAAATTTAGAGATTTTAAGTGCCTCGTCCAGTCACATGATGCACAATGGAATTGGGACAGGAATGTAGTTGGTTCCTTGAGGACAGAGATCCCTGAACCCCTAAGACTTCTAGATTTCGCCCTATACACAAATCAAGGGCTCCTCTCCTTCTTTTTTTTTCAAAATACCCTGCTCCAGGGTTTCTGTGGGAGAGAGTTGATGCCCTGGAGGAGATCCTGAGCTACAAGAAGGGCTTAAACCCTGACCCAGCCTCCTGCCTCTAAGTTTCAACTCCTGACCCCAAACATGGCAGATTCCTCCAAACAGAGCCCCTCTGAAGGACAAGGGGAAGTATTACAACCATGTGTCCATCCTCCCCCAGCATCTTCCCACTGTCAGCTGTCTCACATTGAGCCTTCCTGATGACCAGTGTGGACTACCCTGAATGACCAGTGGTCTGTCTGGCCCCCAAACTGGCTCGGAACTCAGGACATTCCAAACCAACTGTCACATGACAGCTCTGCCAAGAATTAACTTCCTTTCAATGGACCAATCCTGGATGAGCAGTTCATGTGACTTAACTGGGAAAGTGGGCATCTAGGCTGGTGCATTGTAATTTAATGAATTGAGTCTGTGACCCTCAGTGCTTCACTATTGATGTGAGCAACTCTCTGAGCGGCCTGGCTGGGGAGGGGCCCCGGCTGCACTGGCTCTGAGTGCACACCTTTTCTGCTCATCCTTCCTCACCAGAATCCAGGCCCTACAAGCTTCTCATCGTCCCTAGATCCTGCAGTAGCAGAGGACAGGCTCCCATCTCCTCCTAAAGGGACCCCTCCATAGCCCCATCCTAGAGATCCTACCCCAGGACTTTCTCTGAGGATGACCCAGGCCCTCCTAACCTCGGTCACCAAATGTTCATTCCACTAACCTGATGGCGTGACTGTCTCTTCTCTCCACTCTCCCAGGAAGCATCCAAACACCCAGTGATCCTTATGGAAATCCTGCCATGAAATCCCAGTTTTCTTTCCTTTCTAAAAATCTCTGAATCTAGACTGCTAATAATTGGTATTGGATTTTGGCATCACCATTCAGAAGAGTTTGGCCTGTAATTCCCCTTTCCTGCAATGTCTATTGCTAAGATGGTATCAAAATTCTCCTGATCTGATAAAAACAGTATGGGTGTGGTTCCTCTAAATCTCTTCTCTGGAAGATTGTGTTCAAGACTGGCATTATTCCTATCTTAAATATTCGGAAGAATTCAGAGGAAGACACAAGGGCCAGAAGTTTGCTTTGTGAGAAAAATATTCTCGGTATTTTTTTTATTTGATGGCTGCTTTACATATTATATGGTGCACAGATATTAAGTATACAACTTGATGACTTCTTATAAACATAAATGTGTGTACTGCCAACATCCAAATCAATATAAAGAATTTCTGAAACACCTAGACAGCATTGTTTTTGCTATTTCCCAGTCAGCAACCCCCAAAAGGAACCCAATGTTCTGACTATGACCACTATACTTTATATTTCTCTGCTTTCAACATCAAATAAATGGAAACACAAGTATGAACACCTTTGTATCTGGCTGAATATTATGTCTGAATAGTACTGGAATTCATCGATGTTGTTATGAGAAGCAAGAATTTATTCTGAATTGCTGTCTCAGTATATAACATTGTACGTATAAGCACAATAAGTTTACTTCCTCTACGTCTTACATACCCTGTGTCGTTTCTCATGGTGGTTACTCAGAATGATGCAGGATGAATGATTCTGTACAGGCCTCCGGGTGGACATAGCATGTCTCCTTCATGTGTCTGAAGGAGAGAAGCCAGTCAAAAAAAAAATATAACATATCATATGATTCCATCTATATGAAATGTCCAGATTAGGCAAATCCATAGACACAGAACATAGATTAATGGTTGCCTGGAGCTAGGGGGAGAGGAGAATGTTTCCTGTTGATTGAAAGTGTTTAGTGACATGGGCTTCCCTGGTGGCACAGTGGTTAAGAATCCACCTGCCAATGCAGGGGACACGGGTTCAAGGCCTGGTCTGGGAAGATCCTACATGCCGCATAGCAACTAAGCCTGTGCCCTGCAACTACTGAAGCCCGCAACTCCTGAAGCCCTCAACTACTGAAGCCCGCGTGCCTAGAGCCCATGCTCTGCAACAAGAGAAGCCACCACAACGAGAAGCCCGGCAGCACAACAAAGAGCAGCCCCTGCTCTCTGCAACTAGAGAAAGCTCACGCACAGCAACGAAGACCCAACGCAGCCAAAAAAAAAAATTAAAATAAATTTATTAAAAAAAAAATGTTTAGTCCCAGATTCCAAATGGTTTACTAGTTTTAGGAGTTAGTTCCTGAGTCTTAACACTAACTTTGGAAGGTCATTTATGTTCCTTTACACAGAAATCCCCCTGGCCAGGGACATAGTTCTCTGGAATAGAATTGTGACTCAGTGTCATCAAACAAACAAAAATAGATGCAACTTTCAAAGTGCTTGAAGTAGATGTACTCAAAATGACGGAGGGCAAAAGTTGCCAAGTCGATGGCTTTAAAATTAGAATGTTGATGAAGCTAAATTTCACCTTGTCTCAGGACACAGGAGCATAAACATGATTCTGTTTGAGGAAAGTGTAAAAGGCAACCTTGATTAACAATAAAAAGGAAAAATGGTACAGGAGAGGACAGCTGCTTCCCTGCTCTAAATGTAGGTGAAAATATACATTTTGCAGCTGTATTTTAAATATGTAAGTTTCTTGGAAGCCAGTCTCTTGTCCTTATTTGACACTGTACTTCTCCTGGGGTTTTAACATTTTGAAAATGCAATCTCAAGTGCCCAAGTAAGAAAAATGGTCTAAAAGGACATGAAGGTCATATGTGGAATTCCTGTTTCATGTCAACATGCACTGAAATGAATTAAGGATATGAGAGGGAGGAAGTGAGAGCAAAGATGGCTGGGTCCTACTTTAGCTGAAAGGACAGGTCAACAATTGAGACAGTCACTCTCTTTGCTAAAATAGTTGGGATACTTCTTGTTCAACTCAGGTTTCTGCAGGTCTACCAGGTCAGGATCCTTTGGGGTGAAAATCACAGCCACCTGACTCAACAAAGAAACTAAAGCAAAAAAGAAAGGAAGGAGGGAAGGAAGGAAGGAAGGGAAGAAGGAAGAAAGAAGAAAGAAACTTACTGGGTCAAGTGACTGCAAAGTCTAGCCCAGGTGTCTGGGGCTAGATGCTCAATGTCATCAGACTTCATTTCCATCTCTGCAATCATCTCAGAGCTCCTTTCTTCTGTGTTGGTTTCATCGTCTCAGCGAATGGTAAAATACGCAGAACAATACCTAGGTCAACAATACCTTGACCCAGGTATTATTCTGTGCAGCATTGGGCCAAACACTTAACTAAGCTGTTTCCTCATTTATTCAGCCAACATTCATGGAACATAATATGCTACTCTTCCAGGCTATGAAACAACAGTGCACAAGAACAAATCTCTGCCCTCATGGACCTTACATTCTAGGATGATAGCAGGTACCCAGTGCCAACTAAAAATTGTCTCTCGCCATCTGCTTCTACGAGGATGACGTCACTAGCCACTGCAGTCACTGACCTTCAACACACCCTGAAAGGAGTTCAGGGAAGAGATCAGGAATGTGGCACTCTGTGCTCTGGGAAAAACTGGCAGAGCAGGCCTTCAGGTAGTTAGATCTTTTTCAGGAGAAGACTTTATGAGCCCAATTTCTTGCATCTTAAATCTAGGAAAGCACTAAAATCATTGACAGAGACATCTGTTCCTCGTGACTGGCAGCAACCTTCTGCCAAAACGTGTGCTTGATTGCACCTATCCCCCTTCACTAAAATCATATATATAGCAACCTGCCCCCCCACCTCTTCAGAGCAGGTCCTCATTTTGCCACAAATAAAACTTAACTCACAACTCTCACCTTGTGATTTCTTTTTTCTCCAGTCAACATCACAAAATAACAAAATGTAGGTTAAATGTATAGGGTAAATGGGGAGAAGTTAAGAGGGGATGAAAGAGGCAAAAGAGTAGGGAGTGTATATATCGAGGGAGTGGAAGGGCTGCAATTTCAGCAAAAGATGTTCAGGTAAACACTCCCTGAGAAGGTGGCATTTGTAAGATAGGAATACAGTGTCTATTTCTCAGGCCTGTGGTGGAGATTTAGTAAGAAAATACACGGATTTGTAAAATACCTTCGATAGGTCCAAAACGGACCTAAGAAACCTCTCTGGAAAGAGGCCCGCCTAGAACTCTAAGAAAGAGGGAAATTTTGGTCGGGGCGGAACTGGGATCGAGGTGGACGTTGCCGCGACGGAACGGTGATCCCCCTGAAAATTGGCCCGGGCGGAAACGTTGGTCCTGGAGGAACGTGGATCCGGGAGGAAGCTTGGTGAGGGCCGAACTCTGGCCGGGACGTACAGTTACCCTGGCAACGACGCGCGCCCGGTGCGACGGAAGGCGGTGCGCGAGAGGTAACCGGGGCGGGGGTTCCGGCGGAAGTGGGTAGCTCTCCACTGCTGGGTAGGGAAGATGTTGCATCCAGGTTGGCAGTGGCTTTGCCTCGGACTGTGCAGCCTCCTGCTGGGACAGGCGGAGGCCCCGAGCCCCGTGGAGCCGCCGGAGCGGAGCCGGCCGTATGCAGTGCTGCGTGGGCAGAACCTGGGTGAGCGGCCGTGGGTGGGCGGGCGGTGGGGTCGGGTCTGCGCTTTTGCAGTTCCAGGCAGCCGGAGCTTCGCATGCGCGGGTGGACGGCGGGGGCCGTGTGGGGGCAGGCTGTGCAGATGCGACCCTCTCTCTCCGAAGGCCCGGGACAGAGGCCTGAGCTGCGGTTCAGCGGAAGGCCTGGTCCTCGGTGGGCTTGATACATGCTGGTTGCATGAATGACCCGGGTCACAATCTGGGTCCCCTCCTCTGTGGCTGTGTGGGCCCAAGCTAGGAAATACGGTGCATGATATGTACCCCATCCCTTCTTCTTTTCTAATGGAACTAATAGTCATAGTCATAATGATAACTGGCATTTGTTGAGCATTTCCTATATACCGTGTTGTACTAAGCACTTTGTGTACGTGAGTTTATTTCAGCCTCACAGTAAGTTAATCAGAAAGGTACGGTTTTCAGCCCTGTTTACAGATAAGGGAAGTGAAACTCAGAGAGGTGAAGTTCTTTGTCCAAGGTTACACAGCTAGGAAGTGGTGGAGGCCAGTAGGAGAACCTAAGTTTTGTGGGGCTTGAAACATACCTTTTGGGAGGATGTCATCAGCATGCACATATATATACACACATACATACGTACATATGGGCGTACATGGCTTTGGAAGGGGCCCTGGAGCTTAAAGCTTGGCAAACTTCACAATAACTCTGAATCTTGTTCTGCCCAAATCCTTTCTTTGCGCTGAACGTCATTGGTATGTCTGTATATCTGCAAAGCTGCTACATAGTATTGTTTCTGGATTACCTTGACTCTCCATGAACTCATTGTCTGTCATGTATTGACCACTTAACTGTGTCCGTAGCACTCTGCTAAGTGGTTCCCATACATTATCCTGCTTAATCCTTCAGAACAGGATTTCTCAACCTAGGTACTACTGACATATTGGACCAGATGATTCTTTGTTAGGGGGTGGGGAACATACTGTTGTGAGCACACACTGTTCTGAGCACTGTAAGATGTTTAGCAGCGTCCCCAGCCTTTACCCACTAGATGCCAGTAGCACACCCCACTCCCGGTCCAGATAATCAAAATGTCTCTCGACATTTGCCAAATGGATTTTGCCACTGGGGCAAAATCCCGCTGGTTGAGAACAGTACTATTCAAAGTGTGGTGGCAGAGCAGTGAAGTCTGCAAACTATTCGTTATCTGCAAAGAGATGTCTTACAGCATTTGAGATTGTTTAGAAATTTAACGGTTTGACATTGTTGCAACATCCAAGCAACTCGAAACCACTTCTAGGTCCCTAACCCGGAATGCTTTCTAGGTAGAGGGAGCTGCTAATTAGTCATACACAGTAGGGCTAGGTAGTGGCCTGGGACAGACTAAAAGTTACAAAAACTAGTCCTTTACCACAGCTTCGTTTGAGAAACACTGCCCGAGACCATTCTGTGCAGTGGGTATTTTTATCTCCATTTTTAAAGAAGAGGAAACAGACACAGAGAGACTGTAACTTCTGTAACGTCACGTAGCCTATAAGTGTAGACAGGAACCCAGACAGTCTAACCCCAAACCCTGCGTTCTTGACCACTGTGCTGCACTGCCTGTCTTGGTGGTAATAATGGCTTTCATTTATCATGTGCTTATTATCTGTCCGGCACTGTGTTGAGCGCTTTTCATAAAAAATATGAAAAAATTTTTGAGCTCTAAAATGAGATTTATTTGAATAAGATACAGTTGACAGATAAAACAGTAATGGTGTGGATATGCTTTTCTAATTTTCCAATATTTTGGTCGGTTGACAAATGTCACAGAAGTATTCCAAATAAGAGTTGGAACTGCCAGGAATATTGTAGAAAAAATGTTCACATGCAGTGAAAAGCTGGATCAAATGTCTTTTGGGACCCTTCCAAGGCTAAGATTTTCGGATTCTTTTAGAATATGCTGGCCACTTTAATTATTATACTTAAAACAATAGATTCCATGTGACAGTGTTAACTCAATCTTTAAAAAAAATGCAGTATTAGAATAGTTCCAAAACACTACAAAAACATTTCACTTGAAATTCATTATTTTAATGACATTGATATCTAGGCCTTGTGAGATGGGTTTCATTTGCCCCATGTTATAGGGTAGAGAATGAGGCTTGAAAAGGGGAAGTGACCATAAGGAAGGACCTAAGTAGTCTTAACGGTTCTGCCAGGGCCTGCCATTCAGGCAACTAAAGGGAGGGAGAAAAGATAATGATGAAGAGTGGGAGATCAAGGCCCAAAAGTATAGCTATTCCAGTGGATGTCGTGTACCTAACAACTCTTGGTTTTAAGCTCATTTTTTGTATTTTTTAAGAAGACTTCCATTCTCCAATTCTAGTCCCCTGCATTCCTGCTTTGGAGGTTTTTGTTTTTGTTTTGTTTTTTTAGAGCCTTTCCAAAACGCAAAAAAATTGGTTTAAATGGAATAAGACAGCTTTAGGTCCAATTGTAGTCAGAGCCTTAGAAACTCATGGAATTCTGAACTTTAAAAATTAGGGCAGGGGCTTCCCTCGTGGCGCAGTGGTTGAGAGTCCGCCTGCCGATGCAGGGGACACGGGTTCGTGCCCTGGTCCGGGAAGATCCCACATGCCGTGGAGTGGCTGGGCCCATGGGCCATGGCCGCTGAGCCTGTGCGTCCGGGGCCTGTGCTCCGCAACGGGAGAGGCCACAACAGTGAGAGGCCCTCGTACTGAAAAAAAAAAAAAAAAAAATAGGGCAGGGACTTCCCTAGTGGCACAGTGGGTGAGAATCCACATGCCAATGCAGGGGACACGGGTTCGATTCCTGGTCTGGGAAGATCCCACATGCCGTGGAGCAACTAAGCAACTTATTTATTAAAATAAATAAGTTTGTTTAAAAAAAAAATTAGGGCAGGTATTTAGGTAACAAGGGCTATTTTGAGGTATGACATCTAACTCATGTAAGTCATAGATTTTGTTTAACAGAGACCTTTTTTTAAAATTTATTTTTTGCTCCATCGGGTCTTCGTTGCTGCGTGCAGGTTTTCTCTAGTTGTGGCGGGCAGGGGCTACTCTTCATTTCGGTGCGTGGGCTTCTCATCGTGGTGGCTTCTCTTGTTGAGGAGCACAGGCTCAAGGCATGTGGACTTCAGTAGTTGCAGCACATAGGCTCAGTAGTTGTGGCATGCAGGCCCTAGAGTGCACTGGCTTAGTTGCCTTGCGGCACATGAGATCTTAGTTCCCTGACCGGGGATCGAACTCGCGTCCCCTGCATTGGAAGGCGGATTCTTAACCACTGGACCACCAGGGAAGTCCCAGAGGGATCTTATTTCCCGACTAAATCAGATCATGTCATTCTTTGCCTGCAACCCTGTCTTTAAACTTAGAATAAAATCCATGTTTCCTTCATGGTCTACAAGGCTCTGCATGAACTGGCTCCAGCCTTCCTCTCTGGCTTCATTCCCCGCCTTTCTTCCTTCACTCCTTCCTCACAGCCACACTCGCCTCCTTCCTGTTCATTGACTTTCTGGCTTGTTCTGGCCTCAGGTGCTTTCGTTAGCTGATCCTTGGGCATGCAGATCTCCACATGGCCGGCTCCTTCCTCCCATTAAGGCCCCAGTTTGTCTGTCCCCTCCTCACTTGCTTCCTCCATCACCACTCCCAGCACTCTCACATTACTGTCTTCCTCACGGCACTTAAAAGCTTTGTGAAATGCTGTCATTTACGTTCTCTCCTCACGTGCATGGCGACACCCCCAGAGAGGGTCTGTCATGGCTGCTTCCCCCACACCTGGCACAGTGCCTGGCACCAAGTGGCATTTGGCAAATCGTTGTCAGTGGACAACTTACAGAACCTGAAGCTGCCGTTAGGAGGTAACCTGTTTTCCTTTTGCAGTGTTGATGGGAACTATTTTCAGCATCCTGTTGGTGACCGTGATCCTTATGGCATTTTGCGTCTACAAGCCCATTCGGCGCCGGTGATGGCCAAGCCAGCCCTCCCACGAGCCTTTGGGAGCAGAATAAGTCGTGTTGCACATGGGTCAGTGGAGAAGGTGGAATCAGAACTTAACTGCTTGGAAACGATCATCGGTCTGGACAGTTGGTAAATGCTGAATGATTTAGAAAAAACATCTAGCCATTACCTTATCCTAACACTGTAATGCAAGTATTTGGCCACTTGAGCCTGCTTCTCAGTGTTTCTTTTTATATCTGGCTGTACCTGTTGAAAGTAAGACCTGAAGCTCCAAGGTTCAGTGTAAAGTTGGAGTGTTCACGAGAAAGAAAACATGACTTTGTGAGTGATGTAAAATCCACACTGGAAAGGAATAATCATTAATGCTTGAAAATATTAAGAAGAGTAAGACTTAACATGTAGACATTCCCTGCTTAAGAACCATTTGGTCACAATGGGTTAAGAATCCCAAATGTTTTTAATTATCCCGAGTTGGCCTAGATGCCCCGTTTGCAAAGCAGTGTCAGCTGTGGGGAACACAGGCCGCCACTCCTCACTCTGCACGGAGCTCTGCACTCAGACGCCCCCACTGAAGTTGGGGTCACACCAGCTAGGCCTGTGACCACGGGCACCCTTGGGCTGGGAGGCACTGGGGGGGGCTGGAAGTGTTAGCACTTGGCCCATCTGAAAAAGAATTGGTCCCATTCAAACACGTTGATCTCCTTGTCCTGCACTTAAAGTCTTCCCAGCCCTTGGCCTAGAAGTCAGGGCAGCTTTTCTGATTCGGAATCTAAAAGAGACTCAGCAGGACCTCTTTTCCGCCCTGGGTGGGGAGGGGCTACAGAAGTGTGTGTTCACTGTGGCGGGTGGGTGTGTGTTTACACAGTTTAATTTCAACTTTGAAAATGCTGCTATTCACTTGCACTGTTGGTGAACTGGAATTTTCCCCCATGGAAATACTTTCGTACATACAGTATTTATTTTATTTTAAGGGTGCTGGGTTTAACTTTGTTGTTAAATTAAAATGCTTGTCTTGTTTGTGCTCCATTCAAGCACAGCACTGATTTTGTTTTTAACAACCGGCACTTAATGTGAAATAACTGATGTGGGATACAGTAACTGACTTAAGGATTTTGTTTGTAACCCTAACACTGAGTCGCTGAAACGTGCTTTTGAGCAAAATGTCCATTAAAACTAAAGTAAAATCTTATGTGCTGTTTTATTCCTAGTAATTATTTTCCAAGCATTTAACATGCAGGTAGGGGTGTGTGTGCGCGTGTGCACACACTTGAATCTGATTTAATCTCTTGAGGCACTGTGAAGTGGAATTTTAAATTAATATGTGAAATAACACTACTGCCCCAAGGCAAGCTATTGATTATTTCAGAAAACTGACTGTAAGTAATCTCTCAGGCTGGGCCAGGGGCCAGAAGACCTGGATTCTTGTCCCAGCTCCAGTTATAAACAGGCTTAACTTCTCTAGAGCTTCAGTTTTCTCATCTGTGAAACAGTGATATACACACTCTATCTTTCTTTATTATAGTGAGGATCAAATGATGTGAAAAGTAACACAGATGGAGGTGGGGTCACCACAGTTGGCCTGTGCCTTGGAAGCCCGTGGTTTTTAACCGGAGGGAGGAGTGACTGGGATTCTGAGACTCTGGCACGGACAGAGTTAAGTCCCAGGAGCCCACATCCCCGCCTCATCTGGGATGCCATGTTTTGATATCTGCCTAAAAACTTACTGCCATTTTTAGAATTTTAAAAGGAAACGGTAAAAACTTGTCAGGCCCATAAACCTTGTGACCTGCCGTTTGCCCAGTAATCACCAGCCAGGTAACTGGATCATGTTCAGTTTTCTGAAACAATAGTTATTCCCCATACAGATCCAAAACCCAGCCTGCATCATCATCCCAGTGTTACTGTCTGTTAAGTATGAGATTTCAGTCAAAAGTAGGACAAAGAATAACCTTTGTAGAAAAAAGCTTATTTCAGAGAAATGAGTAAAGATGACAACATCAATTCCAGGAGCGAGAGAGCAATAAACTGAAAACTTTTATGCACCAGAGGTTGACCAATTGCTATTTTCAAGTGGAATTATTCTCCTGATCTTCATCTTCAGGAGTGCAGAGGGGCAGTGGCTGAACCCTAGTTTTCCTAAACTGAACTGTAACAAGTCCCCTAACACATTCGACTAATTTACACCGATCATAAAAACAAGTTATTTTAGCAAACACTATCTTAACTTTCTTTAAAGTTGAGATTAAGAAGTCTGCAGGTGCTGCTTGAGAGTAGGGGCTTGGAGTCTTATTAGTGGATTACAGTTTTTCCCACAGGATCTCAATCTTATAGCCACACTCATTTCTAGACATGGGCCTAGCTTGGACTTTGAACTCCCATCATTCACGGCACTGCAGCCATTTGAAGTTGCTGTAGTCCAACTCATCATTTTTGATGTCATCTGCGTTCAGGAGGAAACTGGGACCAAGCTGGTGGTTATGGTCTCTTTCCTGTCATTATTTAGAGCAGACTTTGCCCTGACACCTCTCATCCAGCATGGTGTGATGAGCTTGTTTGTGTATCTTAGGAACTTTGTTACCCAGTCAGCCCACCACATCCGTGGATTCACCCAACCACAGATTAAAAATATTTGGGGAAAAAAACATTCCAGAAGGTTCTGAAAAGCAAAACTTGCATTTGCCTCACACCAGCAACTATTTACATTAGCATTTACATTGTATTTATATCTATTTATATAATTTACATTGTATCAGGTATGTGATCTAGAGATGATTTGAAATGTTCAGGAGGATACAGTAAGTTATATGCAAATACCATGCCACTTTATAAGGGACTTGAGCTTCCACAGGGTTTTGGTATCCATGGGGCATCCCAGAAACACGCCCCTGCAGACAGTGAGGGAGGACTGTACTTAATTCCCAGCACTGTCTTATGTGTGGAAGTTGCTCCATGAAAGTTTACTGCTGGTAATGGTCCACCCAAGCTTTAATAAACCCTGAAGATAAAGTTAGAAACTATTAGTTTAATGAAATAAGCCATAAGTATGGCTTGTCTTGACCTAAGAAGAGTAACAGTTTTCACAATGCTCAAAATATTGCTTACTTCCCGCCCACCCCACCCCACCCTAAAAAGCAAAGCAGATCCTTCACAACTTCTGGAAATACCAAGGCCTCATTTCCGGAACCCAAACATTTTTTACTGGTCACTGCCTTTTTTGTTTTATTACCAACATATTCAGGTGTACGGCAAGTCCAGGAGGCTGAATCATCACCTGAACTTCCAAGAAAGGAGACAGCAGATTTACTGAGATTAGAGAGATCTAATGTTGGCTTGGCTTCCAGCACTCCACAAGAGACAGTCCCTCTCCAGGGCTGCAGAGGTACTCAGAGCGGCCCAATGCTGGCTTTGGAGTTTCCATTTGAAAGGACTAGCGTTCGGGCCGTGTGGACCGTGTGACTTGGGCAGGACGCTGAGAGGACTGTGCCACCTTTGTCACGCACGAGCGAGGACTGGGAGGAATTCTAATGTTCCAGTAACATACATAACAGGAAGGGACTAGAAAAATGTGAAGAGAAAAAAAGACTCAAAGGCTGTCTAGAATATTGTACGAGCACCCTCTAAGGAAGCAGTCTTTATTTGTATTTTAAGAGTGAACACATATCGAAAACTGCTGTGACAGTGACACAAAGTTCAGTCCCTTGTTAACTGACCTCCTGGGGAGAAAGTCAAAGACATGGGGAAGCAGAACAATGGAATGCAAACAGAGATTACCTCTGTTCACCTTAGTGAGTAAACGATGGGGCCTAACTGCAGCCATTCCCAAGACGTATCTTGGCTCAAGGTAAACGCCAAGTAAACAAAATGCTAACCGTGTATCTGAAACAAACATGATGCTGTATATACTGGCCTCATGTGCAGAGAAGGAATTTTGGTCAGACCATGAAAAGAAAGGCAGATGGTCATATGGAATCAAAAGCACAATTCTTTGGGAACGTTTCATTGGCAACGCTAACTATATACAGCCGTTAAATGGAACGGTAGTTCCTGTTTCCCTTCCCGTCCCCAAAGCAGCGCAACAGACAGGAAATGGACGCAAAACAGAGGAGGAGGATATTGTTACTCGGTGATTTCAGTGCAGCCTGTAGGAATGAATCCATGGGCCGGGCTGGAGTGAGGGTGCCCTCGGCCGTATTCCCCAGGTTCTCTATGTTGTGCGGTGGTTATTTACAGAAGGGTTAGACAAAATAGTTAACTACTAAGGGTATCCAAAAAAGGCCTGAGAAAATCTGGTTAAAATGTATAACCTTGTATTGCTACTGATGGGAGTAGTCGTTTTTATATCTTTTAAAAATAATAAAAAGATTCTGTTAAAAAATATATTCATCCAGAAAGATGTTGATTTGAACTCTAAAAAGTAACGTAGAATCATCATTTTCCCTTTTGAACACAGAGCCACTGAGTTCCGTTTGTAGCTCCCTTTCTAGTTTCAAGCCCACCCCTTCCTCTCAGGTGCGCCCAGGGCACGTAGTGAGGTCTTCCTAGGCCTCTGCATGGAAACCCTTCACCAGAGGCAGCCTGGAACACACCCCTGGTTTGGTGATCCTTTGGTCAGCCTGCCCACTTCAGTAACAAGCCTCGGGCTCTACTAGCGGCTCCTCCAGGGCCAGGATTAGCTGCCTTGGATTTAGCCTGGAGGATCCTGCTCTCCAAGGAACTGCCTTTACAAATTCAAATCAGATCCCTCAAAGTGGAGTGAGGTGGTTTGAAACCACTAGTAATTTTTAAGGCTAAGGCAACATCTGTTGGCATCTGTATATCTTAATTTGATGCAAATAGTTAACCCTAAAGTAAAATAGATCCTGACTTATCTCCTCTCTAGCTGGGTGTGGAAAGAGTGGAATAAGGTGGGGACGGAGTAGAACAGTGACAGTGCCCTAGAAACCCTGTAGAAAGGTAAAAATAGAAAAGCAGAAGGGCACAAATGATCCATTTCTTTGGTGAACTGTACAGAAGTGTCTCCCAAGTTCTCATACACCACACTCTGCAAAGGCTGCTGCTCTCGTATATAAAAGCACCCTGACTCCGCAAGAACTTGTTTTGTTATCACTCCTTGATAAAAATTAATGTACAAACCTGCGGGGTGGGATTGGGGATTGGGTTTTTATCTAAAGCTGGTAGTAAAAACGTGACCTGCAAGCCAGTACAGCTATGGAAAGTGAGGACGCTCTCCTCCCCTCAAGCCTGGAGATGGGGCCGCTGGCCGCCAGCCCGTTCACCGGGGAGCGTCACGGGTGGCCCCGGGGGGCCCTGGCCCCGCACCTCTGTGGAAAGCAGGGTCCGATGCTGCATCGTGTGAGGCGCAGTCCCTGGGCCCGCGTGCAGACAGAGCCTCTGGGTGGGAGGCAGGAAGGACTACTTCTCGGTGAGCGACAGCTGTAAGACCTGCTGCAGCTCCGCCTCCTCCTCCCGCAGCCGCAGCTCGTGCTCCTCCAGCTCTTTGGCGGAGAGCTCCATGGCCAGCTGCAGGTCGCTGTCAAAACGGCTGGTCTCACGGGAGGCGCCGGGGCACAGGCCTTCAGAGTCGGAGGGGAGGCTCTCCTGGACAGCCCTGCGTGAGAACGACATGGGGCAGAGAAACTGTTTTAACATCGTCATCGTGGCAGCAGCAGAGCAGCAGCAGCCATATTTCTTAACTGTGGACCCAGTGTGCGCCGAGCCCGGCGCTTCCTGTCCCCTCTTGTACATGATGCCATCGATCCCATGTAACTCTGGGGGTGCAGGTGCTGGATGCAGGTACATACCTGCCCGAGATCACCCAGCCACTAAGTGATGGGGCTAGGAATTGAACCTGGATCAATTTTAAAGCAAAACCCAACTTCAACAGGTTTTCATATGTGCCCAGACTACAGGAAAATGCTTTGTAAAATGAATCTTTCCAGCTTAACCCCTTTTAAAACGGATAATCTGGGAATTCCCTGGCGGTCCAGTGGTTAGGACTCCAAGCTTTCATTGCTGAGGGCACAAGTTCGATCCTTGGTCTGGGAAGTAAGATCCCACAAGCCACATGGTACAGCCAAAAAAAAAAATAATAATAATAATCTAATCATCTCTGTAGCCCTTCCCCAAAGTGGCACCATCCTTAACACTGTATAAACTTCCCACTGACGGCACCTAGACCCTCTGTGATCA